TAAAGTACCACTCTCCAGAAAAAAGAACAGAATTTCTTGGAGAAATAGTGGGTTCTAGCACTAGATGCAAGGAAGGTACAAGATAAGCTTGGAATATTTTGCCATACCAGAGAGTAAGAAAATTCTCAATGGATTATGAAGCTATATGGACTCAGAAGTCACTCTGAATAGGCTCTTACTACTGGCCAAATCTGGGAAAATTTGAAGGATCTAAATAAATAATGACAGTCACGATTATAGCCCATTAACATAAAAATAAGAAATTGGAGAAATTCAGAAAAGAAAAAGCAATTCCTTACAGTAGAATGACAACCAATAATTGTACAATGAAAAACAGAATCTCAATTTTGCAAAACTATAGTAATAATTAAACAGCCAAGAATTATCAATGGATGCTAAAATTTGTGGATCAAAGTTTAATGAGGAACAAGATATTTACTTAGTCTCAACCTCCCCCAAAATATGTATTAATAACAAAGGGAATAAAGTGATTTTGAAGTGCAGAAGCCACACAGACAACATTTAATAAAGCAATAAAGCATACTGTAATGAGACAAATGGAAATTATGTTCCACCTGAGAGGATGCACTGAGACGCACAGAGCATCACCTTTGTGGTATTTCTACTAAAAATGCAAAACCTGAATCTAATCATGAGGCAACATCAGAGAAAACAAAGCTGAGGAATAGTTCACAAAGTAACTGGCCTTTTATTTTCAGAAGAGCAAAGTCATGAAATCAAGGAGAAACTGGGGAAGTGTTCCACAATGAAGAATACTCAAGAAATAGGATAAATAAATGAAACTTTTGGTTGTGAATTGGATCCTTTTGCTCTGAAGAACCTGATTGGGAAAACTGGTGACACCTGAATGAGATTTGTGGATGGAATGATGGTGCTGTATCAATGTTAATTTCCTAATTTGAATGGCTCTATGTGGTCATGTAGGCAAATGTCCTTTTGAGTAGGAAATGCACACTGAAGTACTGGGGTGATGGGGCATTTTGTAGGTAATTAAATCTGTAATGGTTCAGGAATAAACAAATTTCTTTGTACTTTCTTGCAATTTTTCTGCAACTTTGAAATTATTTAAACTAACAATAGCATGTATGTTTTCAATCAACCTCAAACAACAAAAATAACGTGAAAACATAATAGAGGATTAACTAAATAAATTATGATATATCCAAATAATGGCCTATTAAAGAATTTGTTTAAGGGCCAGCCGAGAGACGAGGTGGTTAAGAGCTGGCTTGGGACGCCAGAGGGCCCCGGTTTGGATCCCACATATGAGGGCCAGTGACACTGCCCTCTACAGCTAAGATGCTGAAAACTTGGGCCAGTGAAGCAACGTCCTCCACAACTAGACTGAAGAACAAAAGGACAGCAACTTGTCTTCCTCTTCCCTCAATTCCCCAACGCTGTTCCCATCCCCCAATTCCCCAATAAAAATCTTTAAAAAAAAAAAGAATTTGTTTTAATGATGTTTTAAAAGATTATGTAATGACACAGAACATGTTCACAATATATAATTCATTAAGCAAGCATATTGTAACTCTATTTACAATGAAGAGCTCATTATATATTTATATTTATTAAGTATAATATATATATATATATTTATTCATTCAAGAAAAAGGCTAGAAGAATAGACACTAAAGGCTTAACTGTGAGAAGAAATTCAAAGACAGAATACTAAGAAAAGTAAACATACAAGGGAAGTGTCCAAAAGGAGCTATAAAATGTGTTAAAGAGGTAACAGAATAAAGAAAGGTGTTGCAAAAGCAAAGGGAATGGAAACTTTTAGAAGGAGAGCATTGTTAAAAATGTTGAACACCACAAAAGGAAAGCTAAGGAAGCCAACATTTAAGATAAGCACTCGAAATATATTATCTCACTTAATCTCTATCAACATAACTAATTGTTGTCTCACATTTCCCAGCTTCAAAACAGAACTCCCCTTTCCCACACCCAAAACCACTTCTACAATCTTAGCCATCTCAATAAATGGAGTAGTGTTTACTCTGTTGTTGTTTTACTTACCACATTCAATCCATTAGTAAGTCTTGTCCCTTCTACCTTCAAAACACATTCTGAAACTGACTGGTTATCCCTTCCTCCTGATTTAACT